GCAGCTACGTAATCCACATTTCTCAGATTTATTCGGCAGGGAGACCCCTCAGCCTGCTGCTGCTGCAGCAGCAGCAGCTCCTGCTGCTGCTGCTGCTGCTGCTGCAGCACGGGAATGCCCAGACACCGCGCGCTCCTTGGCCTCAAAGACAGACCTCACCGCTCACGAGCGGTAAGCAGCAGCAGCAGCAGCAACAGCAGCAGCAACAACAACAGCAACAGCAGCAGCAACAGCAGCAGCAACAGCAGCAGCAACAGCAGCAGCAGCAGCAGCAGCAGCAGCAGCAACAGCAGCAGCAACAGCAGCAGCAGCAGCAGCAATTTCTGTCTTTGTTTTTTTTTTTTCAGGTTTCACAGAGCCATGCAGTCGGCCATTGATATGGGCACTCCACCGCCCCTACCCACTGGCAGATGTGTAAGCTTGCTGCTGCTGTTGCTGCTGCTGTTGCTGCTGTTGCTGCTGCTGCTGCTGCTGCTGCTATTGTTGCTGTTGTTGCTGCAGCAACTCGTGCTGTTGCGGTTGTTTTTGTTGCTGCTGATGCTGTTGATGCTGCTGTTGCTGCTCTTCTTTCTGCTGGTGATGATGCTGTTGCTTCTGTTGCTGCTGCTGCTGTTGCTGCTGCTGCAGCTGTTGCTGCTGCTGCTGCTGCAGTCGCCTCTTCGCATTGTAAGAGTGAATGCAGCGCAGCATAGAAAAGGCAGCAGCAGCAACTTCCTCATGCTATCGCTTTCTCTATTGCTGCTGCTGCTGCTGCTGCTGCTGCTGCTGCTGCTGCTGCTGTTTGTGTGTTGCCTGCAGCGGCAGCTGCCTAAGGACGCTTCCTTTGAGCTGCAGCGGCGGCAGCAGCTAGCAGCAATGACTGCAGCAGGCCTGGGCCACACCTTTCACTCCAACAGCCAAATATTTCAGCAGCAAGAAGAAGACAGCAGCAGCAGCAACGATAAACAGCAGGCAGATCTACAGGCAAGTACCACCAGCAGCAGCAGCAGCAGCAGCAGCAGCAGTAGCAGGAGCAGCAGCAGCAGCAGCAGTAGCAGCAGCGCAGGAGCTGACCCACTCAGTTACATTCTCTGATAGAAACAGACACCAAACAGCAGCAGCAGCAGCAGGAACAGCAGAAGCAGCAGCAGCAGCAGCAATAGCAGCACAAGCAGCAGCAGCAGCAAGTGTTGTTGCTGCTGCTGCTGTATATAGCATTGAGGATGTGGTTTTGTTTTATGGTGCATCGCTTTCTTTTGCTGTTGTTTTTTTTTAATCTTTTTTTTATATATTTACATCTATTGTTTTATTTATTTTGTTTTTATTTTGTTTTTATTTTGTTTTTATTTTGTTTTATTTCTGTTTTTTTGTTTATTTTTATTTATTTATTTTATTTATTTTATTTATTTTCTTCTGCTGCAGCTGCTGACGCTTCACCTTCGCGGTCTGCCGCGGGATATCCGGGAAGAGCGTTTGCTGCAGCTGCTGCAGGGCAGCCCTGGTGCTGCTGCTGCTGCAGCAGCAACTCCTGCTGCTGCTGCTGCTGCTGCTGCTGGCAGCAGCAGCAGCAGCTGTCTCTCTCGCCCGCCTCGCTCGCACTTTAAGCTGCAGATGTCAACTGACCCCATCACCAACGAATGCACAGGAACAGCTAAAGTTACATTCAGGTAATGCTGCTGTTGCTGCTGCTGCTGCTGCTGCTGTTGCTGCTGCTGCTGCTGCTTGTACTGCTGCTGCTGCTCCTGCTCCTGCTGTTGTCCCCTCCACTTCTGCCGTACTGCTGCTACTTGTGCTTCTGCGCCTGCTGCTGCTAGTCCTGTTGGTTGTGCTGCGTGGCTTGCTGCTATTGCTGCTGCTGCTGCTGCTGCTGCTGCTAGTTCTACTGCTGCTGCTTGTGCTGCTAGACGTGTTGGTGCTGCTGCTCTTGCTGGTATTATGCAGCTGCTGCTGATTCTGCTGTTGATGTTGCTGCTGCTGCTGCTGCTGCTGCTGCTGCTGCTGCTGTGTATAGGCATTCGGGGGGGGCAGCAGCACTGGAGGCATTGATGGCTCGCCTACGAACCCAAAATATAACAGCACAGGTCGACTAACAAATTAAAAAAAAACAGAAAAAGAAAAATTAAACAAGTAAGGATATGAGTAGTAATATATTATGTAGCAATAGCAGCAGCAGCTGCAGCAGCAGAAACAGCTGCAGCAGCAACTGCAACAACAACAGCTGCAACTGCAGCAACTACAACAGCAACAACAGCTGCAACCACAGCAATAGCAGCAGCAATAGCAGCTGTAGCAGCAATAGCGGCGGCAGCAGCAGTAGCAGCTGCAGGAGTAGCAGCAGCTGCAGCAGCAACAGCAGCTGCAGCAGTAGCAGCAGCTGCAGCAGCAACAGCAGCTGCAGCAGCAACAGCGGCTGCAGCAGCAACAGCAGCTGCAGCAGCAGGTGCATTTTTTAGGGTTTAGTTGGGGTCTGCATAAACCTCAGCAGGGGCATCGAAAGGGATCCCAGGGAGGTGTATGTACACCAGAGGCGACGCATGCTTGCAGCAGCAGCAGCAGCAGCTATTGCTGCTGCTGCTGCTGCTGCAGCTGCGGCAGCTGCTGCTGCTGCTGCTGCTGCGGGGTGCATGCCGAGCCTGTTTGTGGTGGGAGGTTATTATATTGATAAAATTTCTTTCTTGTCATATATTGTTTCTGTTGTTTTATTTAAAAGAGAAGAAACCAATAAAAAACAAAACAAATAAAAAAGAAAAAAACAAATAAAATATATATACAAATAAAAAATTATAAAACAGTATACAAGAGACAAAAAATAATGCATGCAGGCAGTGGGGCTGGCAGATGCAGGCGGCTGCATAAATCATCACAGACAGAATCTATGATACTGCTGCTGCTGCTGTTGCTGCTGCTGCTGTTGCTGCTGCTGTTGCTATTGTTGCTGCTGCTGCTAGCACCGTTGCTGCTGTTGATTCGCTGCTGATTGGGGGGCAGCATTCGCGTATGAAGCAAAGAGAAGATATATATATATATATATATATATATA